GCGAGGAGTCTCTTGCGTGAGGCTACGGAGCGGCGCGACCTAGTCTCGTCGGGCCTTAGTGTGCGCTGCGATCTTCGATCCCTCTCTCGCTGGGTTTCTTCCGTTGCGGCCGTGTTATCGGTCGCAGAGGTAGCCGTTGTATCGCTGACCGTTGTGGTTTCGCTCGTGGTGTTGGATGTACCAGTAGCGGTTGAATCGCCCCCAGAGGCCTCTTCTGTGGCCCCCTGGGTTATTTGTTCATCCTTGCGACGCTTCGATGATTCTCCGTTGTTACTACATGTAATCACCATTTTTCTTCACAATAATATTTTTTCGTTCTTGCGGTTTGCTTCTTTCTTGCGGCAATACCAAGACCGATATTGTCTTTTTCTTCCAGTAATCCGGCTTCTCGAAGGACCATTAATGTTACGGATCGCCGTTCGAAAAATGAGTGAAACACGTTGGTCTTGCTTACTACTGGAGGCAAGCGGCGGTGAGGAGGAACTTTTTCTTTTCTTGCTGTTGTTTTCTTTACTGTTTTTCTTTGCTGGAGAGCGACTGCCGACCGTTCCGGCCGGCCCGTCTTATATACGATCTGGCCGTTGCTGGCCAGCGGACCCTTGCCTCACCCCCGCGCCTTTCTTTATTAGGTAGATTTTTTATAAACTAATGTACAGACTTAAATATATTACATTCTTCACAATTACTTATTAAACTAATACTTATATAACAATTTTTCTACATAGTAAAGGCTAAAACGTTGTTATTCCAGCAATTTTGAGCTGAGGACCCTGCCCCCCGCCTCAGTACTATAAATATAAAACGTCGTGGCGCGGCGCGCGTAGCCTCATTCGCTCCGCGGCCGCGTCACGGTAACATGCCCTGTTTATTATTTACCGTGCCTAAGGGCTTAATATATATGAAATTAAATTGCACTATACAAGGGAATATACTTTACACACAATACTTATTCTACAATTTGGCATTAATTAATTTCTATATTCTAAATCTATGTTAACTCTCGCCATTTGTTCGGTGCCTTTATTGCGAGAGTTATTACATAGTTACAATATTATTTATTTAACAATAAAAGCTATATTTCTCAATATTATTGCTACGGCTTTTCCCGCGTTGCTGTGGGCAACCACCGCTAGTTGTGGAACCGTGAGCGCTCCCCGACGATCATAACATTCTCGTGGCTCCGCTCACCGCCCCTAGGTTGTTCAACTAGCGATGGTTACCACAAGCAATCCGTAAGTCATTTCGTTCGAGGTATTACTATGTTTGCGTCGTGCACAATAATGGAATCCATTATTAACTGCCAGCTCATCCGGTACCTTGAGGATCACCAGCTGATTAGTGACCGCCAATACGGTTTTCGTCGGGGTCGATCAGCTGGTGATCTTCTGGTCTACCTGACCCATAGAAGGGCGGAGACAGTAGAGTCCAAGGGGGAGGCGTTGGCCGTTAGTCTGGACATTGCGAAGGCCTTCGATCGGGTTTGGCACAAAGCGCTTCTTTCGAAGCTCCCTTCCTATGGGCTTCCCGAGAAATTGTGCAATTGGATCACCAGCTTCCTTGCAGATCGGAGCATCAAGGTCGTTGTAGACGGTGCATGTTCTGACTACAAGCCTATTAACGCTGGTGTTCCACAAGGCTGTGTGCTATCACGAACGCTGTTTCTTCTGCATATCAATGATATGTTGCTAACTGGATACATTCATTGCTATGCGGATGACAGCACTGGTGATGCTCTATACACCGGCCGTGCCAATATTTCTCAGGAAAACGTCGCCGAGTACCGGAACAAACTTGTGTCTGAAGTTGAGTCTTTGCTGAACAAAGTCTCGGATTGGGGGCGACTAAATCTAGTCCAGCTTAATCCTCAGAAGACACAAGTTTGCGCGTTAACCGCTAAAAAGAACCCCTTTGTCGTATCGCCTCAGTTTCAAGGCACTCCCCTTCTTGCCTCAGCCAGTATCGGTATCCTCGGAGTCGACATATCGAGTGACGTGCAGTTTCGTGGTCACTTGGAAGACAAGGCCAAATTGGCCTCTAAAAAGCTTGGCGTGCTCAGCAGAGCGGGACAGTATTTCATGCCGGCACACCGCCTGCAACTTTACAAGGCACAGGTTCGGCCTCACATGGAATACTGTTACCATCTCTGGGCAGGGGCTTCCCAGTGCCAGCTCCTTCCACTTGATCGCATCCAGCGCAGAGCGGCTCGAATCATCGACGACCGAGCCCTTTCTGATCGGCTCGATTCATTGGCACTGCGAAGAGATGTTGCATCCCTTTGCATTTTCTTTCGCATCTATCATGGGGAGTGCTCTGACGAATTGTTCGGATTAATCCCAGTCGCCAAATTTCACGAACGCACATCGCGGCAGAACTCCCGATACCATCCATACCATCTGGATGATTGGCGGTCCACCACTGTGCGATTTAGAAGATGTTTTCTTCCTCGCACGACTTCCTTGTGGAATCGATTACCATCAGCGATTTTTCCGGACCGATACGACTTAGGGACCTTCAAGAAAAGAGCGTACTCCTTTTTAAAAGGCCGGCAACGCATCTGCGATTCCCCTGGTGTTGCAGTTGTTCGTGGGCGGCGGTAGCCACTTACCATCAGGTGAGCCGCATGCCCGTTTGCCCCCTCTCCTATATAAAAAAAAAACTTTCGGGTACATTTTATTATAAATCGAATAAAAAGATTTAACTTTTGGCTTCAAAATATTTTACTTTAAACGTTTACTCTACATTTTAATAATTTATCAGTGTCGTAAAAACGACAAAAAACTTGATTTAAGAAATTGAACACTAAAACAAAACGCGAGGCGCATCATAGTATTTCACCAACGTAATAACCCTCACACTATGCAAAGGTTATACCCAGGTGGGCAGTACATTCATCAATACATACTACGAGCTTGAGGCGCATTACGCAGTATATATAATTTTATCAGTGAATAGTAGATGATTGCAGCACTTTATTGTTATTTCATGTGTGATTTATTTCGTATAACGAAATATTTTTTGAATATTGAGTATACCTTACAGTTTATCGAATCTTGGGCATCCGGCAAACAGTGTACATCTAGAAGTCTCGGAGGCCTTGTTTTAGTGCTTTCTGTTTAAAGATAAGGCGTTGACAACATTACTATATTGATAATCAACCTCTATTCACACACTCATCACGTACTTAACATCATTTTAATTTAAGTAAAACTGCTTTTTACGGATTTTATCGCGTATATTAACTTATATTTACGACAACAAGCTGCGAGTTCCGCGTTACGTCACAGTGAACGAGTGAAGCCAGTCACAGTCGAGCGAGTGCCTGTTGTACTACCATTCCATGTCAGAGGTGTCACTGTCAAGAGTGGCTATATCTTGAAGCGTCTTTCCATTAAAACATACTTTAAGTCACCGAAGAAGATTAGTCAGTTTTTACCATCAGTCAAGTGTAATGTCCCTCTGCAAGATGCAGTTGTGTACAAACTTGATTGTGAATGTGGTCTCTCCTATATAGGACAAACTAAAATATCAATAAAAACCCGCGTCAAAGAATACATAGCTGATGTGAAGAATCGACGTTCCGGGAAGTCTGTAGTCTGTGAACACGTACAGGATCGCCCCCGTCACTACATTAGATTTGATATACAACAAATCCTCGCTAAAGTACACCGATTCCTTCCAAGGACGATTTGCGAGGCTATTGAAATAAAAAAAATCCTAATCTGAAAAAAGAAGGCTGTCTACCATCTGCTTGGGATCTTATAACTAATAAAATTAAATCCCAACCCAAGTATACAACTGCAATATTTCAAGATACTATAAGTTCATACTGTGTAAATCGGGACAAAAATTAATAATTTTAATCTGAAGGTAGCAGTGGTTAACTATGACATTGAGAAACAAACACCTCAGACCCCACGTGACTATGGATGCTGTAAAGAGCTCAAACCGTCGGAAATATAAAATAAGTTAATATTCTGCGATAAAATCCGTAAAAACTAGTTTTTACGGATTTTATCGCAACTGCTGCCATCTGCTTTGGATCCCATAATTAACAAAATTAAATCTAAGCCCAAGCATACCACTGCTAGATTTAAAGATACTCGTGATGTAAGTTCATTCTGCGTAAATCGAATCTAACTACTGACTAACTAACTGTGACATCGGGACGTCAAACATTTCAGTTCCCCCGTGACCATGGGTTGCTGTCAAGCACCCGAAACGTCGGGAATTAAAATTGTAAATTAAATGCGATAAAATCCGTAAAAATTGTTTTATTCAAAACTAGTTTTATTTAAATGTGTAGTGTTCGCGTAAATATAAGAAATCATTATCATTTTCAATGTTGATATATCACTTTTTCAGCCAAAACGATAAGAACTATCTCCTTCTTTTTATTTTTTTGTGTATTAGGCCTTTTCAAGGAAACGCATAATGGCAATTTTAAAGGTTTCTTCGTACTCACCACACAAGATAAGCAAAAAAAAAAATTAGGACAAAACCGATACTTTCGCACTGGTTGTGCTGCTCACTTTCAGCAGTCTATGAGGTTGAGGTTCAATGTTTGTGGGTGGATTTCCTACAACCAACCGTTCGCAATGCATCGTTCGTTGATGATAAGAGAAAAAGTTGGTACATTTCTGCTTTGACCCTTATGTAAATTAATATGTGATATAATAATACAAATAAACTGTTATTCTATGGTTTTTCCCCAAGTAGAGAGAGATAACGTAGCGATAAAAAATAAAGGTATTATAGAATTAAGCTTTTGGATAATACGTTACATAAAAGGGAATAAATAAAATAAAAACAAATATGCATGAGTTATCATTTATATGATTAAAGAATTATCAGACGTATTATTAAAATTTTATTTCGATTATGCAGAAACCGATTGCTCTTAAATTTTATTTACTGATTGACAAAAAATATGGTCTAAGTTATGTATTTCTTATTCTTTCGACATAAGAACGTAAGTCTTCTTATTAGTTTGTGACGTAAGTCTATATAAATCCAGTGGTGATGGACCCAGGATATACGAAGCGGTTACCATGAAGACCATTCACAACAGTTGGGCCAGCGACGACAGTCTGTAAAACAAAAATATTTTTAGTAAACATAAATTGGCAATTAGTATAATAAAATCACCCTTAAATCACATAAGGGTACGTAACTTGGACACTAATAAATCACCACTGCAATATGCTAGAACACTGCCAAAGAGCTATGGTGAGAGGCACGTTAGGAATCGAGAAATAAGACAAATAATGAATTACAACAAAAGATTTATTACAGCTAACACAGGAGTTATTTATTTATTTTATTATAAAACGTACCATCCTCACTAGGATTTTCTCCTGTATCGCGGGGGCAGTTTACAAACAAATTGCACAAGAACAAACATCCAGACCCGAAACAATTATTTGTAGGTCATACTTATACTTGTTTCGTGCGGGATTCGAACTTGCAGCCCTCAGATTGGCAACTCAATTGTTAAGCAACTGAGTCGTCGAGCCATCAAGCTGTCGAGCCGTTGAGCGGTCGAGTTATGGATGTATACTTAGTAAAATAGACCATCTAAAATCGCGATGGAGTCTCATTTTATGACTGGTATCCTAAAGATAGCGACAGATATAGGGGAAAATTATGTAGATATGAATATGAAGAATAGAAAACAAAAAGCCTTTGCCAAGAGGCAATCAGAACTCAGAGATATTATAAAAAAACTGAAGAAATCGCACAGTAATGGAATTCAGGATACAGTGCTTATTGATTGAATGATAGTAAAATAATCCGTAACGATAATTCAGGATACAGGGCTTATTGATTGAATGATATTAAAAATAAGTCGTAACGATTATTTTTAATATCATTCAATCAATAAGCCCCGTATCCTGAATTCCATTACTGTGCAATTTTTTCAGTTGAAATAAAAAAAATAACTAAATTCTCAAGAGCCTTCAGTCGTTATATTGGGGCTGAGAATAATTTATCATGCTTTTTTAGTACGAATTGGTTAATTCTAATGTCTTCATTATTTCACAGATTATGTACAGGTTTCCCTACGACGTTATGACGTTACGACTGAAGTGCTTATTTCCTAGTCTATGGTGCAGGTGATTAGATGGGATGCAGATATAAGTATACTGTACATTATGGTTAAGAGTATGCACATTAACATTTAATATTCGTAGGTTAATAAATAAATATTTTGCTATCCGAATAGTGCTATGAATCATCAAATTAATAGCTTTTTGAGTGCTTAATGGAGATAATAATGGTTATCAACCTATTGCTAGTTTCATTTAGCAATACTTGTATAACATTAACATCCGGACTGACAGTCAGAAAACAAAAATATAATTTAAATTTATATATACAAACCCTGGGAGCAACGGGTGCCACAATTCCTGGCCATGTAAGTAATTGGGGGTTGGCCGCAGCCAACGCGATGAAGCACAAGACAAAAACAATCTGTAACGGAAAATTGTAAAATACACAAATTGAATACCGTAATATTGCTTACTGTATCATAGTGATTACAAAATTAGTATGAATTCAAAATAAATAAAAATTGTCCTTAAGTCACATCAGAATTACTAAAATTCTTAGTTGGTTGCTAGTTCCTTGTTCGTTTATCAGTTGTCTTGGTTCTTTAATACCTTAATCTACAATCAGAAGAACTAAGACGAAGGTGTGAAGAAAAAAATTAGAAGCCTCATTCCCAGAAAGTGCCTGTGCGCTAGATTTTTAGAAATATGTATAAATTAAATAAGATACGTACAACGTATTTCATTTTTAAAAATGTGTAGATTGTAAATAATACGAGTATGTGAAGATTGTAGGTCTGCTTTTAACAAACTATATTGTTCTGAAGAGAATCGCGGAATATATATCAATTGGAGGGTCAATAGTTGTATTACAACTACATTGATGGGCGTGCACATAGAAGCTTTTAAGGTCACATGCCAGTATCTGGTTTATTTATCTACAATCTAGAACAAAGAAAAAGTGAATAAATTTACACTTTATATTATATTAGCTTCTTGCCCCACAGTGTTACCCGCGGCCAAGTTTTTTCTTTCCAGACAGTCATGGTCCACGCTTAATATGAGATCGCATAATAAGACTATTAATATAGCTCAAGCTATTACGTGGAAACTTATACTCATATTTCGAAACGATAATAATAATGGTCACAGATTTTAGGTTAAGACTTAGGCCTTTCGAATAGTAAAAACTGCTCGTACACTGTTTCTCTTCGTACTCCACTATCATCATCAAAAACTGTAATATTTGTCCATCATACTTTCCCTCCTTTCTTGTACCTATCCTAATAACCTCGATTGTTAGCATCTTGTGATTTTACTTATATTTTTTTATAATTAATAGAATCAGGCGTTACTTTGCGGAAATCCATTATATAAAACCTTTTAGAAAGAATTACTTCGCAAATATGCGTGACGCAATTGAGGAAGGGCGGGAGGTGCTCTTCATACTAGGTAAGACACATCATTTTATTTTATAACGCGGATATTTGCGAAGTAAATAGTAAATAAAAAAGCTTTTATATATATATTTTTTAATTAAATTCTTTAATCTATGTATACCTCCCTCATAGCCATTCGTTGGGAACAATTCTTTACGTGCTAAAAAAAATAAGGATGTCTGAAAGAAATTGCATCCAGAGCGTTAAGACCTTCTTTATTTATTTAAATTTTGTTTTTGTTTCAATGTGTATTAGTATAAAATAAATAATATATTGATTGATTAATTTAATTTAAACTGCATCAAAAAAGTAAACATTATAATAGCTTACATGTCCTATTTTCCCCTTAGCAGTTGAGTATCCATAAATCCTTACACACGTGCTACAAGTTTCTAATCGCCAGTTAATCTAAAGAAGCTTGTCAAAATACAGAATTACATGTACAAATTTTAACACCCCATGCCTCCACCCCGTAAGGGGTTGTTTTGAGAAATCTACAGTATTCATTTATTTTATTTACAGCTTCATTTCAATAAGTTATGAGTCAATCGCCCCGTAAAATAAAAAAAATATATAATTTTTAGCACCCGATTGCATCCTCTTAGAGGTTGTATATTCTAAAATCCTTTCTTAGTGGATGCCTACGTAAAAAAGAAACCTCTAGGCTCAATATCATGCAGTTTGGACTGTGCATCTTAATTTAATATTTTGTTACATATTATATATTCATCATTACAGCCCTTCACAAGTCCACTGCTGAACATAGGCCTCCCCCAAAGAATGCCACAAAGCACGGTCCTGAGCCACCTGCATCCATCGACTTCCTGCATGTCTTACCAGGTCGTCACTCCATCTCGTGGGGGGACGCCCTACACTTCGCCTACCGGTACGAGGCTGCCACTCGAGAACCTTTCTTCCCCATCGGTTGTCGGTTCTTCGAGCTATATGGCCAGCCCACTGCCACTTCAGCTTACTAATCCGTTGGGCTATGTCAATCACTCTGGTTCTACTGTGGATATCCTCATTTGTAAGTTTATCACGCATAGAAAACCGAACATAGCCCTCTCCATAGCTCGCTGAGCGACGTTGAGATTCCTCATACGGCCAGCAGTGAAGGACCACGTCTCAGTTCCGTAAGTCATCACTGGCAACACGCACTGGTTGTACAATTTCGTTTTCAGGTTTTGAGGTATGTCTGACGAGAAGATGTGTCGTAGCTTCCCGAACGCTGCCCAGCCGAGTTGAATCCGTCGATTGACCTCTCGGTCGAAGTTGGACTTACCTAGTCGGACTATTTGTCCCAGGTAAACATACTCGTCAACAACTTCGAACTTAGTGCTCCCAACAACTACCGGCATAGGTGTGACATGGACATTGAACATGATCTTTGTTTTGTCCATGTTCATCTTAAGACCTATCCGTTGGGAAACACTATCGAGGTCATTGAGCATAGTGCTTAGGTCCTCCAGCGATTCTGCCATAAGGACTATATCGTCGGCAAATCGAAGGTGAGTGATGTACTCGCCATTGATGTTGATACCGTATCCTTTCCAGTCCAGAAGCTTGAAAACGTCTTCCAATGCAGCGGTGAAGAGTTTCGGGGATATGACGTCACCCTGTCTTACACCTCTCTGCAATTGGATAGGTTTCGTACTCTGGTTCTGTACTCGGATAGCCATCGTAGCCCTACTGTACAAGCACTTCAACACTTCGATATACCGACAGTCAACTTGGCACCGCTGAAGGGACTGCAGCACCGCCCAAATTTCGACGGAATCACAGGCTTTCTCATAGTCCACATACGCCAGACATAGTGGAAACTCTTCGGACTTCTGTACAATTTGCCGAAGAGTATGTATGTGGTCTATGGTGCTAAAGCCCTTTCGGAAACCGGCTTGTTCGGGAGGCTGGAAGTCGTCAAGTCTGCGCGCGAGACGATTCGTAATGACTCTCGAAAACAGCACGTAGACGCGGCTCAGAAGGGAAATCGGTCGGTAGTTCTTCAAGAGAGCGTTGTCACCTTTCTTGAAGAACAAGACCACCGCACTTCTGCTCCACGCCTCCGGTGTAATGCCACCATGGAGGACGGAATTAAAGAGCTTCTGAAGGACTTCAAGTACCGGTCTTCCACCCGCTTTCAGAAGCTCCGCTGTAATTCCATCCTCGCCTGGGGCCTTACCGTTTTTAAGGTGCTGGAGAGCCATTCTAATCTCGCTCAGACTGACGTCCGGGATATCTTCGGAATAGTGTCGGATGAGACTCGCTCTTGGATCGTTACTCACACTTGCGTGTGGCTCCAACGATGACGTGTACAGCTGCCCATAGAACCTCTCAATCTCACTCAAAATCTTAGGTGTCCCGGAAATGATGCTGCCACATTCTGTCTTCAGCTTTGACAGGTGGCTCTTTCTGGCAGACAGATCTCTGGCAAAGACTTTGGAGCCTTGGTTCCGCTCGATCGCTTCTTCAATACGAGCTGTATTGAAGTTGCGCCAGTCCCGCCGCATGCATTTGGAGATCTGCCTGTATGCTGTCAAGTCTGTTGAAGAATGTAGCTTCATCTCCCGTCTAACAGCCATGAGATTAAGAGTGTGATCGGAGAGTTTTTGTGTTCTTCTGCGGCGGGTCTTGCAGAACTTAGCTCCGACCGCATGGACAGTTTCCACGAGCTTGTCATTCATATCGTCCACTTCATCGCAGTCTTCTAGGCACTGAAAACGGTTTTGTAACTCGAGCTGAAAGGTTTTGGGACTTTGGAACAGAGCACGAGGGGGACGGAGCGTTGACTTCATTAGATGAGACCTCTCCAACTTAACGTTTAGGTTCAGTGTGCCTCTAACCATTCGGTGATCGCTACCAGTTTTCACCCTCGCGATCACGGAGACATCACTGAACAGTTGTCGTCTGGTCGTCATAATGAAGTCAATCTCATTTTTTGTCGAACCGTCGGGGCTCGACCAGGTCCACTTCCTGTGGGGCCGCTTCTGGAAGAAAGAGTTCATCATAAAGAGTCCCTCTTTCTCCATGAAGTCGGCCAACTGCTGGCCCCTTGGGTTCCGTTGCCCTATTCCAAATTTCCCTACTTTCAGCTCACCGTTCTCTCTTGTGCCTAGTTTTGCATTGAAGTCTCCCATTAACACCGTATATTGGGTTTTGGAGGAATGCATGGCTCTAGAGATATCCTCATACATTTCCTCCACCTCCCAATCGGGGTGTGCCGAGGTTGGTGCGTAAACCTGTATGACCTTCAGCGAATACCGTTTGGTGATTCTGAGTATAAGGTACGCAACCCTCGTCGACACACTCCCGATCTTTACAACGTTGTTAACGAGAGACTTGTGGACGATAAATCCGACACCTGCTTGGGATAGTTGGTCACCCTGCCGGTGATAGAGCAAGTTGCCGGATTCGAGGATTACCGTGTCCTCCCCCTCTCTTCGGACTTCGGATAATCCTATAATATGCCAGCGCAACTTGTCTATCTCTTCTTCCAGCTCCACGATCTTCTCGTCAGTCCTCAGGGTGCGTGCGTTGTACGTTGCCAGGTCGAGTCGTCTAAGGTGGCAACCGAACCTCCACCGGAGATTCTTAGCACCCCCTGCCCCGCCGTTACCATGGTCGCCACCGTAGCCAGGAATAGCGGGGCCGCCGGGGACTGGGGGCCGTCTCTTTGTTACATTCATAGGGGGGTATTTGCCATAGTTGCCACGCTTGGCGAGCGGGTTGGCAACCGTAGTTTTTTTATTTCCCTTTGTCGCCTTTTACGACACCCACGCGAGGATATGGGGTAGTGGTATTCTTGACCGCCACTACACGGCAAAAACGAATAGTTAGTGATGTTTGAATACTAAGTCACACATAACTAACTGTGACAGTTACACGGTACATAAAGAAGTAGAATCAATGGACCGTGAATAAGGCGCTTAACTAACATATTCGGCATACTATAAAGAGACCAAAGATGACTACTTGTCATTAAAGCTCTATGCACAAATTACACGCAACATCTTTTAATACGTTGTTGTTATTTTGCCTTTTTTGAAAATTAAAATAGAAAAAGCGAGACAAGTATATTGACTCTATTTATTTAGAATAAGTTTATTTTATGCATACATATGTATGTAACTATCCTAAGTTTAATCGTAATTTTGTACCTGTACAGCAAGATCAAAGAGATTTAAATATATAGGTCTACTTAAATGTCTTTGAGCAAGATGGACCGTAAATAAGGCGCTTTAACTCCCATTGGCAAAGTTGCCAGATAAGACTGTATTGCAAAAAATATGACTTGATATTTTGAATGTTTAATTTGATGAAACCAAACTACATAGAAACGTATTGTCACCCCTGAGTCTCTTAGATAAAGTGCCTAGTTTCAAGTAAAAAGGTCTCCGGTGCTATACCTCACCATACGAGACATAGCAGCATTAAGCAGCTATTTCACGCTAACTTCCTCGGTCGAGTCGATCCATTAGTGGTACAAACATCATATAGCTGCTGCAAGGCTCTTATAATGCAAGAGTTGCTATATACATTTATTGTAAATTAAGAAAAGATAGAGAGATAGTATTTATGTGGACATAATGAGAAATTTTAAAAACTAGCTTTTAAAGACCCTAAGTATCAGGTACATGCATTAAATATGTAAATGAATGAAGCTTTTTATTGCATCACACTGATATGAACAGTTTCAAAAAGATAATCGTAAAAATATATATATGACCTTATAATTATGGTAAATAGCATTTATATTAGTTCTGTAGGTAGCCCATTTGCCTAGGATTCCTAAATACGAGTATCATAATCCCAGCAGCAATAAAGTTTACTTACGTCATTCGACTACAGGTTCCTCCTTTGCATTTCCGTCCAGAGGAACATAACTTTGAAACGATAGTAGATTAAACATTTAAAATGTTGTTTTAATTTATTGGTTAGAAAAAATAAAGAGATTTCATTTCTTAAAATAAAAGCGTCTCTTATAATTTTGTCATGGCCACCTAGCCCAAACGAATGTATAACAACATAACATAACAGTATTTTTTTAAAGGATAAGGGTGACAAACGAGCACACAGTCCACCTGATGGTAAGTGGTTGCTGTGGCCCATAGACATCTACATCTAGATGCGTTGTCACCTGTGATGACTAAGATGGAATTCCTCATTTCCAGTAAAAAGAGCCTCCGGCCATCTGCACTCACCAAGCGAAACGCAGAGGTAAACCTCTACCTCACGCTGGTTTTCTGTGAGGTCGTGGTACCACCCCGGTTTGAGTCGGCCCATCCGTGTGACAGCAAAAGCTGCCGTGTGGCTCTACCACTGTTAAAAGTATAATAATTGTTGAAGTTTATGGCCATATTCGATATAAATTTATTATTGTTTTGATAAATGCAGTGTTGAGGCGATGCTAAAGAATCTGTAGTCCGATTCGTAAGACGAGAAAGCCAGTATAGTTACCGGCCCGCATCGGTGGCCTTCTTTTTTTGAAGTTCATTTTTAATGACCATAGTCTGCGTTAGCTCCTCACCATCAGGTAAATTATAGTTGCGTTAATCCGTTTATCACTTCTATATAATGAAAAAGCAAAACACTAATTTTATAGTGTCTGAACACGAACATATCAGTTCTTTTAAATAACAGTGGTAGATAGAAAGTAATGTCATTGTAGTCATAATCAACAAAGAGAAAACCACTCACACACACAAAATTACACACCTTCATTTGCCAATCAGTTAAAGGTGCGACAAAACACATTAACCCCTGCCTGCTAGGCCTGCTAGGATCTTCATCTTGGCCAGTTTATCTATTTTTAATAGGGTTACAGACTAAATGTTTCAATACAGACTTTTTCAGAAAAAAAATCCAGAAAATAAAAATATATTTCATTATGTAAATATATATGTTATAAGCCTCTTTTCTATTTCTTTTTTAGATGAGAGGCGGCAAACGAGAATACGGCTCAACTGATGGTAAGTGACTACCGCCGCCCATGAACAACTACAACATCAGGGGAATTGCAGATGCTTTGTACAGCCTTATAAAAAAAGAGTAGGTCCTTTCTTGAAAGTCTCTAAGTCGTATCGGTTCGGAAAAATTACTGGTGGTATTCAATTCCACAAAGTAGTTGTGCGAGAAAGAAAACTTCTTGTAAATCACACAGTAGTGGACCGCTAATAGAAATAATGGAATACTCAAAGAGATACAATATCTCTTCACAGCGTCAGTGAGTCAAGCCAGAAAGAGTTCAGTCGCCGACGATTCGAACCGCTCTTCGCTGGATGCGATCAAATGGAAGGAGCTGGCACTGGGGGGCCCCGGCCCAGAAATGGGAACAGTATTCCATGTGTGGCCGAACCTGCCCCTTATAAAGTTGCAGGCGGTGTGCCGGCAAGAAATATTGTTAGAGTATTTAATGTGTAGTTCATAAATAATCCAACATGGGAATAAAGCTGCCTATTCCACTTATTAACAATATAAATTTCACGATAACTTTGGACTGCAAGTGTACACATCATAGACTTGGAATTACGCCAGTATATTCTAAGTCTATGGCACACATTATACCAACCACAGACTAACTAGTATACCAACGTGTCAAAATTTTAAGGAACACACTTTATTAACGATGTGCCTAAGAGTACATATTACTAGTACTATAGAGTATTTTTTAATTTTTTAAATTTTTTTAAATAATGTTACCCACACACTAGGATTTTCTCCTGTGTCGTGGAGGCAGTTTACAAACATAAATTGCGCAAAGACAAACATCCAGACCCGGAACAATTATTTGTAGGCCATACAAATACTTGTTCCGTTCGGGATTCAAACCCGCGGCCCCCAGCACAACAACTGATTGCTAAGCCACTGCGCCACGGAGCCGTCAAGCCGTATGTTTAAAAACTCTGTTAAAAAAGGTCAGGAAATGTAAAAACGTTCTAAGTAAAAAGTTTTTATTAGGCATGCTTTATAATAACCTTAAGGCTTAAATGCTGTTAGTTTTAAGCAGTTATTCTTAAAACTCACAACATTTAAAATACGCTGAAGTGATCAGTTAATGGGTCAGATCTTAAAAATCAAGAAATACGAGAACAAATCAATGAACTGACGAACTGACGTATTTGAAGCATAATAGTTTGCTAATGTAGGTGTCAGTCTTAAATCAATATATCAATGTAAAAATATTTGAACATGTCATCTTCATTATCATTGCAGCCCTTCACAAGCTTACTGTTGAACATAGGTTTTCCCAAAGAAATGCCACAAAGCGTGATTCTGAGCTAGCAGAATCCATCGTCATGTTGAATTTTAATGTGCGTCCAATGCCCAAAATATCAACGTTGTAGCGCCTTTGTGAAAAGAACTGCAACGTTGTATAATATTCTAACGTCTATAAGTCAGTTTCTTTGTACGGGCAAGTACTTTCTTATTTCTTCCAAAAATCACAACCACCACAGCCACACGACAAAATGGAATGTTGGAATTCTTTTAGGCTGCCATCATACGGCACTCTACTATTCTGTAGCACGAATGGTCGGCTTGACCGGGGAAGGACCACGCTCTCACAGAATACCAGCGTAAAATAGCAACATAACGCTGCTGCGTTTCATATGGTGAATGCAAAAAACCGGATATTTTTTTACTGGAAAAGAGGCATTCCATCTTAGTCATCACGGGTGACAACGCATCTGCATTTTGATTCGCAAACGAGGATAGATGTAGATGTCTATGGGCCACAGCAACCACTTACCATCAGGTGGACTGTGTGCTCGTTTGTCACCCTATCCTATAAAAAAACACGAGGCTTTATATGAAATCCCTCACAACCTTCAGTCATAGGGGCGGCATACGGCATATCAATCAAACTGGAGTGCAATAGGACGCGCTTTTACTTACCGGGCGAAGTAGATAAGAAAATGGCAATAAACCAAAATAACCGGAAAGAAAGGTTTTAATCGGTATCAAGAAGTGTAGAGTAGTCTTTAGATAGCCAAGGCTAATTATAACTCATAAATATGAAACGTTAGTCTAGCGAATGTATAATATATTAGAAACGCCCACGTTTCAATCAAGTTATATGATAGTATGCAATGTCTGTCAATTAATTAACATATTAAATTGTAAGTAAACAAAGAAAATAAGTCAATGTAACGAGTTTTACAAACTGAAGGTTGTTCAGATTCCTTTAAATAATAAAGTTACCATCAGCCTATTAAACCCTACTGCTGAACAAAGACCCACTCATAGATTGTCTCATACGGGGGATGTTTGCCATAGTTACCAAGCTTGCCAAGCGGATTGGCAACCACAGCTTTCTTTTTAATCGTTATTATGAAGTCGCTGCTGCCCATCTCCTGATTTGCTTTCCTCTGTCGCCTCTTACGACACCCACGGGATGGTGTGGGGTAGTGGATATTCATACACCGCCACTACACGGATTAATAATAGGGTAAGAATCTGATACGATGAATGTATCATTAAATGAGGCAATGACCTTTTCAATTATAGAAAGCGAGTGGATGTAATCGATTGAAGATCGTCCTTATTTAAAACTATTACAAGCCAGTGCCTGACTACTATCTCACCTGATAATAAGTGTTGATGCAGCTAAGATGTTTAAGCGCACAAGCTTAACAGATACCTAGTATCATACTATATTAATACTTTGCGACAGGGAGCTTTTAACTACTTGCAGTGATAATTATATAGTTTTTTTATATTTTTTTTTATTATAAGATAAACATTGTTACAATATTGCTATGCGGCACAGCGAAAATCCACGCAGATTTGTGTTGCGTGCCGTTCCGTCTACATTTACAAAAATGGGGATAACAACTAATATTTGTTAAGAAAATAACATTTTATTTTATACTTTATGTTAAATTCATTAAGTTCACTTCTAAATTTATAATCCAGATCATTTATTAAGCGTATCATGTATACGCTGGTGCGCTCACCATATTTATTTTTGGATGGTATTGTTATTAATTTTTTTTGAGTTACTTTGCGGGTCTGAATTTTGTTTGAAACTGTATGTTGTATATTTAAATTAAAGAAATGTTCTTTTAACAATTGATATTGGACTTTATCATAGATATTGAGTACCATCCATGTGTTTAAATTTTTCATTTGTTTTTGCCTGAAGTTTAATTTTTATAGGGATTACTGTAGGTGTGATTTGTCTGTTCGTCCGTAGCTGCTTAGCCCATAAGTCATGACTGAATCAGCAAGAGCGTTATAAAGCATCATTTTTACTCGAAATTTTAATCGCTTTCTAATTATAAACATATTCGCCAAAATGCTCTAAGCTTATCACATACATGCTTTATATGTTCGTGACACGCAGGAGTATCCATCGTTAATTTCGTCTCATGGCCGTAGTAAGAGGTGACTAAAATACTCGATTCACAGATGGTCAGCAGCGTCAAAAGGGTTTTTATCCATTACATCCACACAGTTCACTTCTGAAAATAGGATTTTCTCCTGTATCGTGGAGGCAATTTATAAAATTACAGAAGGACAAACATCCAGAACTGAGACTTTGTATGCCATACAAAATACTTGTTTGGCAGGAATTTGAACCCGCGGCCCGCAGCGAAGCAACTCATTGCTAAACCATTGTGCTACGGAACCGTCATGCCATGCTTGGCAGGTGGGTTTTCAATCACATTATTATAATTTTAAACTATTATCAGAATGATGCTGCTGCCAATCTCCTGGTTTGTTCCCTCTGTCAACTCTTACGACAACCACAGGACGATATGGAGTAGTGGATATTCTTTCACCGCCACTACGCGGTTAATTTGGACTGTTATGGGCTGATGAATTAAATATAATAGAATATCATTAAGCTCATAAGATAATGTGACTCTATTGTGTAGTGCGATAGCAAGCACGAAGAAATTCATGTTTCCATTTGGTCTCTTGTTCTGCTGGTCCAATAAAGAAAATGCTGTGAATCAGTATATGCCTATATGCATACATCATTATTTACCAAACTTTGTTCCGATTTTAAAGATTGTTTTTTTATTGAATAGGAACTAAAATAGGTTTAAACTTCAGGGGTAAACTTCAGGGATCCCCTATTATCGCATTTTCAAAATTTATATGGAACCATATATATTTTGAGAACGCGATAGGGGTACAGTGTTAAATGTAGTTATTTAAACGATATTATAATACTAGTGGTGAACCTATGTTGTCTAAAAATAGAAGAAAGTCAAAAGTAAAAATGAACTTCTTTTGTATATTTTATTCTTTTTAGTTCTTTGCTTAAAAATATTAAAATATTTTCTAATCTTCTAAAGCCGGGGCTATACATTTTCTATAAAATAAATATTAGCACCGATTTCAGAAGATATTGTGTGGAAATTTTTCTTCGTCGACTCATGAAAGTACACTGCTTGACATGGGCCTCTACAGTTGTAGGGAGGATTTTCTAAATATAAGCCCTTTTAGTTACCGTGTTTGCTACTTAGTTAATTTTTTTTATAGGAGAGGGGGCAAACGAGCTTGCGGCTCACCTGATGCTAAGTGACTACCGCCGCCCATGAACAACTGCAACACCAGGGACGGAATCGCAGATGCGTTGCCGGCCTTTTAAAAATGAGTATGCTCTTTTCTTGAAGGTCCCTAAGTCGTATCGGTCCGGAAAAATCACTGATGGTAATCGATTCCATAAGGAAGTCATGCGAGGAAGAAAACATCTTCTAAATCGCACAGTGGTGGACCGCTAATCATACAGATGGTGTGGATAGTATCGGGAATTCTGCCGCGATGTGCGTTCGTGAAATTTGGCGGCTGGGATTAATCCGAATAATTCCTCGGAGCACTCCCCATGGTAGATGCGAAAGAAAATACAAAGGGATGCAACATCTCTTCGCAGTGCCAATGAATCGAGTCGATCGGAAAGGACTCGGTCGTCAACGATTCGAGCCGCTCTGCGCTGGATGCACTCAAGTGGAAGGAGCTGGCACTGGGGAGTTCCTGCTCGGAGATGGGAACAATATTCCATGTGAGGCCGAACCTGCGCCTTGTAAAGTTGCAGGCGGTGTGCCGGCATGAAATACTGTCCCGCTCTGCTGAGCACGCCAAGCTTTTTAGATGCCAATTTAGCCTTCTCTTCCATGTGACCACGAAACTACACGTCACTCGATATGTCGACTCCGAGGATTCAGATACTGGCTGAGGCAAGAAGGGGAGTGCCTTGAAACTGAGGAGATACGACAAAGGGGTTCTTTTTAGCGGTAAACGCGCAAACTTGTGTCTTCTGAGGATTAAACTGGACTAGATTTAGTCGTCCCCAATCCGAGACTTTGTTCAGCTAAGACTCGACTTCAGACACAAGTTTGTTTTGTTTTGTCTAATTAAATTCGAACGAATTTTTGGCGTATAATTTATAATAATAGCTATAATTATCAAACTTTAATACACATTTTAAGTTATGTGACAGCATAAGTAAAATACCGTGTTTAATTGACAAGTTACTGTAGCATTTCTTCTGTTAAAATTTATAATCATAATTGTCCAAGATCCCAGGGCCACCAGACGTCACTTATTTTTTGAAGAACTAAATGTGTAAGATTGAGTAGTGTTAGTATGTACTATGATCGCACGCCTACCTGCTAGCTTGGCTAGTTGGTCATTTCTCAGGTATCAGGTAATCAAGGTACGTAAAACCATCTCACCTCTCATTAATTATCCCAGCTAATATTTACGTAAATGTTAGATAATATTGATAAAAATCAGTCATCAATACTCCCAGACACTCCGTCGGCAGTATCACTTTGCAGACACTTTAAGGCTTTCAAAAAGTTACTCAATTTTACTTACAATCTCAAGCTTCATTTTTATATATTTTAGTCAGATAACTATTTTAAAACGTTTTACAAGAAGGCAGACCGATCCAAGAGGTCAACCATCCCCATGACCCAACGTAAATGCCTCTGTGGGTATGACCGCGAGGGCATTATCCACGCGCATGAGCGTGAGTGAGACATGTATTAATATCTAGGGGATGATTCACCCCTAGGGTCTGTCTGCCTTCTTTTAAAACGTTTTAAAATAGTTGTCTGTCTGACATATATAAAAATGGAACTTCAGAATGTAAGTGAAATTGAGTAATTTTTTTTGAATATTTTTTCTGACAAAAAGTGTTTGGGAGTTTGTTTGTGTAATTATATAAAAATCAGCTGGCTGAATTAACATGAGGTGAGTGATATTTTTACGTACCTTAATTATCTGATACCTGGAAAATAGCCCACTGGCTAAGCTAGCATACGATTATAGTACATACTAACACTACTCAATCATACACATTTCGTTCGTCAGAAAATAAGTGACGTCTGGTGGCCCTGCAATCTTGCTCTATAAGTGTTAAAGTATAATCGTTGCCTATCGCTTATTTAAATTAAATATTAATCATCTCTCAAGTATAGAGTATAGAGTATATATAGATATCTCTTTCTATTGCCATTTAATGAAAAGAGGGAGACCGAATTTAAGCATTTCTTAAATTAACGTCGATTTTATGAGTAAAGCCGTAAAATATCACATAGATTTTATGATTTAATCAACAGTAGTGAATCAAAAAACGACAAACGTTCCAAGAGTAGCAATATTAGAAGCAAGCTCGATCTGAGCGAAGTTGATCTAATTATTTATTATTGTTCTCCTTATTTGGATTTATGTAGTAGTTGTCGCATGTCAACTTAACTTTTTCTAGTAAACAAGTATTTTCATTAGATATTCAGATTGTTACATGTGACCTTAAGGGAACTTAGGCTAAGGACTTACTGTATTTGTATGCGACCTTCAAAACTGGTATATATGCTACTGCCATCAATAGGGCGGCATAGTTTGCACTCAGAAGGCCTACGTGCAGTTCTAGTGAGATCTACCCATCTATCTCTCTCATCAAAATGAAATTCGTCGTACGTATTTATTTTCTTCCATTTAATAGTTAGTGCCTTGAAAGATAAGTTTTGATTAATTTGACTTTTCTATCCTTAAGAAAGCCTTAGAAAATAATATTAGGTATACACGAGGAAGGTTCTACACGAGGACAGATTTGGTGTATTCACCGTCCTTGGCAGACCTATCAGCTGATTGTATAAATAGTTGTCTCGCACCGTTGACACTACTCCCTCATTACTTGTTATTCGAGATATTCCCATAGATCACTCAGCAGTCGAATTGTTAATTTTTAAAATAATTTACTAGTTTTTAAAAACTGGCCAAGTGCCTGTCGGATCACGCATACTGTAGATGTAGGGTTCCATGGTTGCCCGTCACAATACGTGGGCATTCTTGATAATGATCATAGTAAGTTCGTGGTTTGATCGCTATAACGCCTAAAATGGGCCCAAATAGTAAGATTGTAACTGAAGGGACTTACTTAACTTTTGAAAATTTACTGTTTTTTGATAGATTCAGAAATCAGTATCACAACTATACAAAATAAGTATAATATTAATAAAATTGAAGAAATGTACTACATAGACATGAAATATATGTACTACATAGGTCACACCCAAAGATTGCCTCATAAGATCAAGGATTTGTCATAGTTGCCACGCTTGGCAGGCGGTATGGCAACTGCAGATTTTTATTATTTTCAGTTGTTCTCTGTCGATTCTTACGACACCTATGGAATGACATGAGGTAGTAGATTTTCTTATGCCGACGCTATTCGGTGAATCCTTAATAAAGGAGAATACAGAATTTTACTTTACTTTAAAAAAATGATGAGAGTGAATTTTTACGATGCGCGCGCACATCGACACCTAAAAACGACCTCTTCAGTGGGTAATTGTCTCTCAAGTTTTCGTGGGAACTGATAACTATATTTAAGGTAGTTATTTTTAGTTATTTTTGTTTTTTAGCGTACTGAAAAAGTATAACTTCCTACGTGCGTGCATAAGAACACACACACGTTTTTTTTAAATTTAATTTCAGGTATTCTTCGTGCTTTGCTTCGTGGCGCTGGCTACTGCAGCTCCCCAATTCTTCACCTGGCCCGGATTTGTGGCCCCGTATGCTCCTTATGCCTCTAGAGTAAGTAACCTGTTATAATCACGTACCCACAAACTGCTAAAGAAACAAAGTATGAATAGTGTGTATGTATTCCA